GATGTATGCCATATATCGATTTCTATTATCAATGATAAGGATAATTCGAGGTTACAACCATCGATCATTATCAGATGTCAGATACGAGAATTGGAATTCCGTAAGTATTCATATATGAACTGTTGACATCGAAATACCATTCTTAAATATAACGTGATAGGGTCCAAGATTCATCCATCCATCTAGAAATCAAGACCTTAACAATAGCGACATAAAGTTTTCGTCTTAATCAACCGTATTTATGTGTTTACTTTCTTTGAAAACTGATCAAAATACTATTTACCACATTACCACATTACCACACTACCACATTTTATGACAGATTTTTTAGTATTAAGAGTATAGTAAAAGATGCCGATGAAAAATAAACTAGGGTTCCATAATGCAGTAAGTAAGTAAGAAAAATGGAAAAATAGCTTGTTTGTATTCATACTTAAGTATTGCAATCGATTTGGCAATAACCACACCCGCGCTGTAATAACCGATGATGCTGAAATAAATTTCTTGATGCGTTTGTACTCGCTTTAAAAAAAATTACATGAACTTTCTGAAGCCTAGAATCTAGATGTATCTTACCGTTTACGCTCATGAATGGTAATTTCGCTTTAGCATTTTGAGGTCGTCGATTGCGTGTAATGTTTTTAATTCTAGTAACAACTGTCCCTTACTGGCCAGTATTGGATTGCGATCCTGACGATTGCTTGACCCAATTGTGTCTCATCCTGTTTATTATTTCATCAATACATTGCTTTGCGTATGCTAGGACAAAAGTCCAAGGTTCTTACAAAAAATACAACCATAATAAGAACGGCATGTTTTTCGATGCAAGGATCCAATAATAAGTGAGGTTATGACAATATGAATCTTTTTAAATTTAATGAAGTAACGCCTAATGCATTTGCAGAGAAAATTCCCTTCCAATGCTCTTCTTTATCGGAAATGGTTGGGAAAGAATAGAGGACTTAAAGTAGTCTTTCGAAACACACTTATCAACGCGGAATGACTTCGACTCGATGTATGTTTTCTGTATCTTCAAATTTCTTTGAGATCTGTTAATTCGTTTTAGAGATTCTTTTCGCGACAAACAGACATACTTTCGCGTTTATAATATTAGTATGATTTGATTATGTGTAATCGAATTAGTGCAAGGCAGTTACAACAAAATGAATCACATTTTATTGCGTAATTCTTTCCACAGAAATTGACACAGAAAAATTCATTCTTATTTTGCGATAAACAATTTGTACTTCAAGGTACTTAACGAAGGATTACAGGAAATTGAATAAACAATTTAATATCAATACCTATTTTGCAAACCTTCCAGTTAGTAACAGCGTAGTCAAGTAATTTTTATTGCTTAGTAATTATGTCTCGTGTTGTAATTAATATGTGTGAATAGAAACAATGTTATTACAACGGCTCTGTTAATATTTTGTCTGTGTAACATTTTATCTCCTTCTCAGGACAAGGTTCGCCAGAGTTTATGGTCTTATATAGTTTATGGACTGTCGCGCTTAAAGTGTTTATTAAAGATTTTAGAATAAATCTGCACTAATGGACTGTAGAACCCATACCCTACTTGTTCTTTGAAACTATGCTCTATAGTTATACCAAATTTCATCTAAATCCGTATAGTCGTTTATGCAAACTCTAACAAATCCATCTAAACTTTCGCATTTTAATATTAGTATGATTTGAACATTATCTGTGTATAGGAACGATATTTACAAAGAATACATTTATTATACCGATTGACTTGGTCAAATGTCCGCGCAACGATCCGCCATTTTATAGAGCGCTTTGTCGTTGATTGTCCATTGTCCGGCACAGAATATGCAAACAAATTAGTAATGTTACTCGAAAGTGAACACAAAACAAAAATGCATTCGGTTTGAATTTGCTATTCTTGGGCAGTTTATCGAGAATTCCTATAATTAAAACGCTTATGTTACATTATGCTGTCTTTTGAACATCATGTTTTGATAGAATGTTTTTATACATGCTCTGCTCTGAAACACAAAAGAATGTTTATGCTTGACAATTAGAGAGAGAGAGCATGAAGCAGGTCAAATAACTTGAGAATATAAACAAATGATACTATCTTACTCCCTTGTTTGTTGACAATGGCGGTTTAACTACATAAAGTGTGCTTTCTTTTCGACATCCGGCTCGATATAGTACAGCGTCTTTTGAGAGCATGTCATTTTAACGAATTTAATTTCTGGATTGTAGCCAATTTCGACGCGATTTGTTTATGAAATTTGGTCAAGATTACGTAAACTGGCGTCTGAGTGACGTGGGCTAAAAATGTAACTATTTGTGGTCGACTGGCTTCGGCGCTGAGATGAATTCTCGTGTACGGTAAGGCAGGCATAATGATTTCACTCAACGCCGTACCCTTGAAGGTATATCTACGCATCAATTTCGCCCTTTTGGGCACAAAGCGACTCTGATTTATCCTAAACATACTACCGTACTAATATTATAAATGTGGAAGTTGGGATAGATGGATGGATGTTTGTTATAGCTTGTAGCCAAAAACGGCCGAACGGATTTCCATGAAATTTGGTGTATATGTAGAGAATAGTCTGGAAGAACACATAGGCTTTTGTACACTTTTATTTTTTTTAATTCCATGCGGATGTAGTCGCGAGCGAAATCTAGTTATCAAGAAACTTTCTCATATAGATCTCGTCGAAGTATTGGTTCTGGATCACTACTGTATGTTAATACTGTGCCCTAAAGTTTATTAACAAGACAATGTTTGTCGCATATCCTTCATTTATTTGTATAGCAGGGGTGGTAAACCACTGGCACGCGTGCCATAAATGGCACACGACATATTTTGGGCACGTCGAAAATCATAAAAACACTTCGAAAATAATATAAATGATTTACACCATAGAAGTGACGTAATACTCTCAGTCATAATTCAATTTCACGTCTAAGACCGTACCAGACATTGCTTTAAAATGGCACTTTGATGCATGTTTTTGACCCCTGCTTTATAAACTGGCAGACAGAAAGCGGCGCTACTTGCACAGACCCGCCCTATTTGGCCATAATTTATCAGATACGATATCTGTTGAAGTGGTGATGAGAAAATCAATACTCGTGATTGAGGTTTTTGTTAATGGAATAGCGATATTTTTTTTCTGAGTGCCAGTAGTTATTCAGACAGCCAACAAACCTGAAGTCTTATAAGCAAGTATGTTGTACTTAATTAGATCTAATTATGTCTCGTTTTATATTTTTAATTTATAATAGCTGTACAGTTTTGTCTATAAAGTAATAGGGTTAGTGTTTGGTTAAGTGGAGGGTTGAAGGTAGGGGAAAATCTATTTTCTGTGCATCTCAATTTCTGTGGATTAAAGTTAAGAAACGCATCTATAAATGCATATGTCTATGGGCAGATATCATTTTACCAATTTGCCTAATTCCGATGCTCTTTTTTCGATTATAACCTTATACTATAAAAAAATAAATCGAGGAAAAATAATGACCTTATATTAAAGTTGATGTAATTCATGATTGTGAAAGTCATAACAATTTTGTAACAAACCGTGTATGATTTTAAAAACGTATTATTTGCGCCATTACAAACATTTTCGCTAGAAGAATACGAATAACTCAACTCGCGTTACAATAGAAGGAAAGTAAAAGATAAGACAACGTCTTTCTCGTCTCAAATCTCCTGTAAATATGCTAAACTTCAAACGCAATATCCCAAAAATGATAAATTTCGAGTTAGTTCTTTGAATAAAGGTGCGATATGACTGCTATTACATAGCCTTATATTGATAAACTTAGTTCAATGAAAAAATGCTAAATGATCCGTGGAAAAAACCACAACTAGGAATCGAATGAATGACTAAACAGTCAGCGTATAATATCGAATGTCCTAGCCTTAATAATACAAACTGTACTTTATTTTAATACATGTAGAGTCCTATTTAAATGTAGATGTTTTGTTGTTTTTTTTACCTCGTTTTTTATATTCCGTTTAATAGTAAATCAATGTCTGGATATCTCGCGTGTTATAATTTTTTTTTATTGAAAAATAAATGTTGTTTTCGGTGGTTTGATGTTTACAAGGAAAGAGACGGGTTTATGGTTTTATTTTCTTTTTAATGTCCACTTTAACATTATTACAATAAAGTTGCTTATTGTTTGCAATGCAATATCATACCTGGTCAAGCAAAAAAAACTGTTACATTTTTTGAAAAGGAAAAAGGTCGCAAATATAAGGTTATGTTAGATTATAAAAGGTATTACTAGTTATAAGATAAGAATTGAAATAGGTTTGTCTTTTGAATGATTCTAAAAATAACCTGAAAGTTTAAACATCTCACATCATTTGAAATGGAAAGTTCCAGACGGTTCAAAGTAAAACTTGAATGAAATCTAGGAGTGAAAGAGATAACGATATGTAGTACGTTCACACTCATAAGTTAGCGAAGCTGTGGGGTCATTGACCTAAGAGTCAAGGCCACGGAATCTAGGCGAACGCTTTCGTCTTTGATGCGTCCTTCATTACTGATAATGATAATATTGCAACAGTGTATTTGTTTATATGCATGACTTGGCAATATCATAAAATTAAAAATAAAGTTACTTGTTGTATTCAACATTTTTAAGCACTTATATGGTAATTACATTTTAGCGCCATCTATTGGTATAGGATTGAATATAGATTGTATTTATTGGTTTCGTTATATCTCAAAGTAAATGCAATAGTGACGAATGCGGAAATGTAACTTATAAAATAATCGCAAGCTATATTAAAATAAATAGAAGATTGCATATCTATTGACTTACAGTTAAATGTAAAGCTTGATAAGCTCTTTTATTAGCCTAAATATGGTAGACAAAGATAAATGTTATCAGCTTTTTACCAAACGTGACAGCGTTTAAGCCTACCTTTATTTTAACGTAGTATAGTTATAACCTTTGAGATAACTTAGAAAATTTAATAACCAACATTCTTTTCTTTGTTACAGATTTTTACCCAGTTTGCAGCAGTTGAAATGTTGTCGACACCAAAACTTTAATTCCTTATGTCAAGAAGGTACACGACGTTTTTAAACCAAACGTGCTATAACTTGGAAAGTGTGTTTTTCAAAGGTGCGCAATCGAGGACTAGCCGGTCCTTGATGAACCCGACAACCCACAACCCTTGCGCTCGTACCCTTTGCATCTCGAAGAAGCCTTGTCGTTACTCCGCCAGAGATCCGAGGTTAAGACACTGGTCGAGAGAACTAATCGTATCCTCAACGTAGACGGATACTCACCTTTGGATTTTTAGAATCCAACATAGGTTTTCACTGACGTCCCACAGAGGGCGCGAATAGAGACACCGGTAGTACATTACGTACGTAGGCTCGTACTTAAGAGGGGCTCCGCGAGCGACTAATGGAATCGCAAAGAGCCTACGCTAATGGAATCACCGGTAAAGATAAAGCGTTCAATCATGAACATAAAGTACCGTCTGAAGAGGAGAAGACTACGTCACCTCTACTCAGTAGGGCAGACGTCGCTAAGCTAACGAACGCCATCGATGATGGGAGGTACGGAGCAAACGAGTTGAAAGCGTCCAAGAATGATTTGAATACAGTAAATTCTATGAAGACGGACGGAGACGATGAAAAGAAATCGAATCACCTTTCCGTAAGTTATAGCAAGGATGAGAATAATGAAGACGACACGAAGTCGACTAATGAGGGTGTCAAGTTCTTGGGTTTGGGCGACGCCGACAGCATCTGCTCGAGCAAGCCGTCCGCGGAGCAGTCGCCTGAGATCCCCGACGGCGGCTGGGGCTGGGTCGTGGTTGCAGCCTCCTTTCTCATCGCCACCGTGGCTGACGGCCTCGCCTTCTCCTACGGCCTTATGCACAACGAGTTTGTAGGATTCTTCAAGAAGAGCGAAGCTAAAACTTCACTCATTGGAAGTCTCTTTATTTCTGTTCCACTGATTGCGGGCCCCATAATGAGTGCTCTAGTGGACAGATACGGATGTCGGAGCATGACAATTGTGGGTGGTGTCACCGCGACCATTGGATTTGTGGCCGCCGCTTTCTGTAATTCAGTGGAGACTCTCTATGTCACATACGGTATCATCGCTGGCCTAGGCATGGGATTACTCTACGTAACAGCTGTTGTTTCGATAGCGTACTGGTTCGAGAAACGTCGAAATTTGGCAGTTGGTTTAGGATCTTGCGGTGTCGGATTCGGGACTTTTATCTACTCCCCCTTAACTACGTACTTATTGGAAGCCTTCGGGTGGAGGGGAGCACTGCTATTGCTCGCCGGTACAGTACTTAATGTCTGCGTCTGCGGTGCCGTTATGAGAGATCCAGAATGGTTGATTCTGGAACAGAAGAAAGCGCGACAGTTAAGTAAAGCGAAACGAGCTTCTAGTTTTATGTCCGTGTCTGCGAAATCAGGAGGTGGGGAATCCGTCTACCCAGGGGTGGAGGAATTGAAGATATTGATGAAAAGCGGGGAAACACCTGAGTATATTCTAACAACCTTAGTAGCATCTATCGCGCAATCGGAATCTTTAGAAGCTGCTACAAAGATGAACGCGGATCTATCACAGCAGAACAAAGTGAGTTCTGTTATAAATCTTCCTACATTCTTACGTCAAAGTGAAAAGGTGCCAGCGGAAGTTCTGGATCAGTTGGTGGCGAATAAGCGCCTGTATAACATTATTTTAACGAACTACCCCTCGCTGCTCGCGCTGCGAAGCAACTCAGAACAGAAGTTGGCAATCGAGCCGGTGCCCGAAGCGTCGAAGTCTAAACAGGTAATGATGTCTATGAAACTGAAGCTTAACAAGAAGAAAGAGAAAAAACCTTTCGAGGCGAAATTGGAACAGGTTCGGGATCAATTGCTGCAGCCGATTCCGGAGAACAAGCCGGCGATAATTACGCCTAGGAACGACCGCCAGGATTGGTTCACGAGGCAGTTTCATACAGATCACCACTACCTGCGTGACATCAGGGTGCATAGGAACTCGATTATGCACCGCGGCGCTATGATGAACATCGCTAAATACAAGCTGCGCGCGTCTTCATGCCCGGATATATACAAGAACTCGATGTGGTCTGTGGAAGACCAGGAGGAGAAGGTAAAATCAAATACTCTAATTTTTTATCATAATAAGCTTTTTAAATTGTAAGAAATTATTATCACATAGTTGATAGACACCACAAACAATCAAAATAATTGTTTAAGTATAGTAGTAAGTATTTCCATCCGTTGAGTAATGTATTCAATATATAGAGAATATACTCAAGAAACTGAACCCGGACACAACAAGATGTATTTATTTACACACTACAGTTATCATTGGTACATAATGTTATCTCAACTTTTAACCCAGAAATAATAATTTATTATTTATTTTCAGACACGAATACAACGTTTCCTGGCGATGCTGAACAAGACGTTTGATTTCAACATGTTTACTGAATTCCACTTCCTGATGATGAATGTGTCAACCCTAGTGTTATTCATCTGGTTCATAGTGCCGTACTTCTATATCGCTAACTTTATGACGATGAATGGATTTTCTGAAACACAAGGCTCCCTTATGCTGAGTATATTCGGTGTTGCCACTATTATTGGTATTGTAAGTATTTTTAATGTGGTTTTAATTTTTTTTTTTATAACATAAGGTGGCAAACGAGCAAGCGGCCACCTGAAATCGCCAAAATGGCGAAGCGACCGCTGCCCATAGACATCCGCAATTGCAGATGCGTTAATTACTTTTAGACAATAATAAAACGTTATTAACTACAACATTAGACCACTGATTCCCGACAGAATGGCGCGCTTATACTTAATACTACTGACATTGACAGATGTCATAGGGACGATATGCCGATGATCTGGTGTTGCGTCGCTATCGTTTTCTTAACATTACATATAGCACGAACTAAATCTATTACTAGTGCATCTGATAGTAAAAATAACAAAGCTGCAGACAAATAGATTTAGAGCACAGAGAATGTAATAAATGTGAAATTAAAAAAGACATGAAGAAAATGATGTACTATTGCCATTTAAAATTTGTTACCAGCCTAAAAAATAAATAAATGATGTCAGACATTTTGTGTGCACGCTAATGTCTTTTTAATAAATACAGACACTAATTATACAAATGTATGTGAATACTGTAGCCGTTGATAAGATTGTTTGCTTTCACAGCCGTCTAAACCTTATGTTAACAACTGTTTGACAAGGCTCATAAAGTTTTTGTATGATGGACAATAAAAACGCAATGCAGATTTACAATGTTGCTTTGTCAATAAAATAATAAATTGTCTATGTTACGCTACTTGTGACCGACATGCAATCTCCCAAACATTTTTTTATTGCACTGGGATACAGACTATATTCTGAAGTGTTCAGATATCGATTGTTTTGAAGTTGTACGGTACATGTCTTCAAGGACGAATGTGGCAATTAGTCGAAATGTATTTGACCAACCACTTGATTGCTTTTTCGTATTACAAATTACTATTCGATAGCCGTACATATATCACAAAGATGTATAGAAACGAATTTAATATACTGTTTGTAGCCCAACAGATGTCTATAACAATATTGTACATTTAATGAGGCGTTAAATAAACATGTATAAAAACATTTTAATTCTTTATTATTAATATTTTGTTTTTCATTGTATATTTGTTTAAGGTTTTTTAAAGATTACGTTCATTAACATTACAAAAATAGTTACACGAGGCACTTGATTTCCGCGGTATCATCAAAACTAGACACACCTTTATGATAATTTAATGATTGTCTACATTCTTATCTTTTTCTTGTTTCATTACAGGTCGGTCTCGGCTGGATGGGAGATTTACCTTGGGTTAATGTGACGAAAACATACGCTTTATGTCTAATAGTTTGCGGATTCACGATACTGCTGTTCCCAATTTTAATACGCGTAACTGACGCTAATGAAACATATAGTTTCTACATCCTGGCGTTGAATGCGGTTATATTTGGCTTGACATTCTCCAGCTCTTATTCATATACTCCTAGTATCCTCGTGGAATTAATCGCCCTCGAACGCTTCACGATGGCGTATGGGCTAGTCCTGTTGTGTCAAGGATTGGGACATCTTATTGGCCCACCTATGGCTGGTGAGTTTTTTTTTTAAATTATGAACAACTAGCGCCCGCGACTACGCGAGACGTTAAAAAAAATAAGCAAGTAGTCTATGTGTTCTAGACTATTCTCTACATCTATGCCAAATTTCATAGAGATTCGTACAGCAGTTTAGGCTAGTAACTCTAATAAACATCCATCTAAACTTTTGCATTTATATTAGTAAGATTTCGTAGTCTAAGTTCGCATAATGTACAAACATCAAACTTTATCCTGTTTGTTATGGCAAAACGATATTAATATTTTTTCTTCACTCAATATTATTTTTGTTTTCAGGTGCCCTTAAAGACAGGACTGGATATTGGGACGCGGCATTCTACGTGGCTGGAATATGGGTCGTTGTCTCTGGTCTGCTCGTCGGAGTAATACCATATACAAGGAACTTCCGTATCTGTGGGAATGCGCCGCTTGCGAAAGATGCTGCCGGCGAACCGGACCCCGGAATTAAAATTATTATAGCCCATTAGTATTTTAAGATAGAATTAACTTTGCTTTGTGCTTTTTGACACTGCGTTTTATAGGTTAGTTTTAATTATGTGTTTTACTCGATCTTTTCGATAGTGTGAAAATTGATTTACTTAAAATATTTATGTAATCTTAATTGTTAGTTTGTATTTTATTACAAATTTATTTATTCGTATGTTATACGAAGACAGCACGTGAAATAGTATTTTTGGATTGCAATAGTTGGTATTTTTGAGAATATAATTTTCCGAAAAAAGATTTTAACAACTCAAATAATAAGTATTAAAAATTTACGTTGAAATGTATTCATGATTCAAAATAAACAAATTCTTGCCAAACCAATAATGACATGTTTATACCCTATCGCTCCATTTTAATTTATAAAAGATTTTTTAAGTATTGTAGGTTAAGTTTATCGAAGAATCTACTAATGTGTTGGTTTTAATGGTGTTTGAAGATTTTTCTTGTACTAGTTTTATTTGACAATAAAATTTCCTGAATTACAATTGAAATGCTTTTATTTAATTTTTTAAATAAAAATCTGCAGTCGGAATGGTCTTCATAGTATTTTACACTTAAATGAAATCCGCGAGCTAAAAACTTCAAAGTTGTTACAAAATTAAATACACTCAAGTTTTGAGTTAATAATGTGGATCAATAAGGTTTCGAATTTGTGTATATTTCAAGCATCTTATTCGTTTTAAGTAGTTTTTAAATCATATTTCTCTAAATCAAAAACATAAATCATAGTTTTCCTATAATAAATTTATTTTTAATTGGCTTTTTAAAGGAACAACAAAAAATCATTGATTAGCAATGAAAAGTTACGGGAAAAATGAATTTTAAATTCATTTATCATGTTAAGAACGTTAATCTTTTTATACAAACACGGCTTTTTTACAAAATGTTCACGGCTGGGTAAAATTTAATTGGCAACACTGTACAGATGTCAATCAACCACTTTGACAGTGACAGTTTGCAATTTGCAAATAAATAAATAAAATGTTTGGATAATTGTTTTAAGTTAATTATATGCGTGTACAGTAGGTATTAAGTAATTAATGAAAATTGCAGTTAAATATGGATGGGTTAGTGTTGATAACATCAGCTGAAAAATTAAAAAAAAACAATGCCGGTTTTAGACCGGCCAGTCCAATTTGAATCATGCAATTTTGTTTTTTCTAGGATTGTCCATTTTGATTTCAAAGGCGCTCCATTGAAAATAAATTATTTAGAAACAGTAAGTATGTTTTAAGTTAGTTTTGAATCACATATACTCACAATGCAATTTAAAGTAAAACAACAACTTTCTAAATTACAATACGAAATTATCATCAACTTGTCCTTATCGTTTATGGTGGGTCGGCACAGTATGTTACAATATGAAATAATTAAATGATTTTTCAGGTATTTAAAAACATAAAAACATGGGGAGCTACGGGAGTGCTATTAGAATGGGAGGATACTTTTCCTTATGCTTCAAACTTAAAAGATATTGGCAGCCAAAGAAGTAGTGTTGGAGCTGGTGGTGATGGTTTGTACAGCATTGATGATGTTCAAACTATATTTAGACTTGCCAAAGAAAATAGTTTGGAAGTAGTGAGTATTTAACTGAAAATTTCTGTATAAAATATGTGTTTTAATTCATGGCATCAAGTACACAAACATAATTATTTGTAAATATATTTTGTTGAAATATAGTAAAGAAAAGGAGCGTCGGTGGCTCAGTGGTTTGAACACTTGTAATCTACAGTTCTTGGGTTCGAATCCCGCCATGTACCAATGTGATTTTCGATTTTTCGAATTTTCATATGTACATAATTTACCCGATGTTCTTACGGTGAAGGAAAACATCGTGATGCAACCTGCACCTATCGGCGAAGAAATTCAAAGATATGTGTGAAGTCAACCAACCCGCACTTGGCCAGCGTGGTTGACTATGGCCTAGTCACCCTAACTTAGGGTAGACTCCGAACCCCTCAGTGGGGACATGTAGTGAGCTGGTGATGATGATGATGATGAGTAAAGAAATATTTAAGAAACTCCTAATTAATAAAAAATTGCATAGTTAAAACTTACCTATGAGACAATTTTTTTGGTATATCACATAATAGCAAGGATAGAATGGTGATGTGACAATTCAGTTAGGTATTTCCTTATTGTGAACTTAAAAAATATACTTCTTACTCTTATTAATATTATAAAGGTAAAGGTCACTTTGCTCGGAAAATCACTATGAAATATATTTTTTTAATTGGACATAGTCACAGGCAACACCTGTTTTGAAAATAATCGAACAATTTAGTGTTATCAAATTTATGTAAATAATCTAATAAGGTTACCTTTTTTTTTTCAGATCCAATTAATTCAAACAATAGGTCACATGGAGTTTGTATTAAAGCATCCATCAAACAGCAAGCTGCGGGAAGCACCACATTCTCCTGCAGTGCTCTGTCCAACAAATCCGGAGTCTCTGCCACTTGTTACATCAATGTTGCAACAAGCATTAGATGCCCAGCCTGATTCTAAATATATACATATTGGTGCTGATGAGGTATTTTATAAAATCTGGTCACAATAATATTAAAATTATTAGAAAAAGTGTTCTAAAATCAGGCAAACCTGTACTACATTAGCTGTTCATGTGCAGCTTCATCTATACAATGTTAAAACTTTATATTATTGTTTACATTCTGTAAAACTTTCAATTGCAAATGTCAAAAATCAAATGCACAAATGACAATGCCTTTTCCATTGACTTACAATTACCGTTACCATGGCAATTGTGCTTCACTGTTGGTTTGTAGTTTTAGTTTCTTTCTGATATGATCGTTTATTCATTTTTATTTAACTCCTAAGTTTAATAATGTGAAAATATGTTGCCTTTAGCATGTCGGAAGTGTAGATTACTTATTAAAAAAGTATTATTAAAAAAATTACTGCGATTGTCTACATTCTACATAACAAAGTGTGTGTTTACGCTTTATCATATTAGTATAGCTATAGCTATAGATATAGATATAGATATAGCTATAGATATAGATATAGATATAGATATAGATATAGATATAGATATAGATATAGATATAGATATAGATATAGATATAGATATAGATATAGATATTGTGTAGGTGTGGCACTGCGGGGAGTGTGCGCAGTGCCGGCTAGCGGCGGGCGCGAGCGCGGGCGGCGCGGCGGCGCTGTATCTGCGACACATACAAAATGTAGCCTTATTGTTAAAGAAAAAGAAGCCAGATTTAATTGTACTCATGTGGGAGGATATGTTGCGCTCTATGACTGCGGATGTCTTAAAATGTAAGCATTTTTTGTTAGTTATATACTCTGTTTAATTTTTATCCTGTATTTTTAATATCTTAGCATTTTATTATTCTTTTTATGTCGAACGTAAAAATATTTTATCTTGTACTATTTTTTAATAGTAGAAAATTAGTTTTTTTTTGTCCTTGACAGACAAATTGTTTATGAACTTCAAATATTGTTTCCAGCATATAACCTAGGAGATCTAGTCCAGCCCGTGGTGTGGCATTACAACCCAATAGAAAGCTTCTCATTGTCACCTGCAATGTGGGAGACATACAGACAGACATTTCCTAAAGTATGGATAGCTTCGGCGTATAAAGGTGCCAACGGCGGCTCACAGGTGAGGAATGACACTATTTCCATCTATAAAAACATTTAAGAAATATATAGACTATACATAGCGAACAAAGTTTTTTCACTGGTAACTTCTTTGAAAGGTACTATGTTGTTAAACACAAAAGAGAGGCGTGAATGGAAGCAATTCCGTGTTTGATGAGTGTGGTGCCGAAGGCCTAATTTAAGTCCCTTTCCCTTTACCACCCCTTTCTTATAAGAAGAGGATGGGAAGAGGAAGTGGATTTGACGGTGGAGAATCATAGGAAGGGGAAGTATCCTCTTTATGTGCGTTTCCTCCGTCCGATAAGGGTAGGCAACGCATCTGCAATTGTAGATGTCTATGGGCAACGGTCACTTCGCCATTTTGGCGTATTCAGGTGACCGCTTGCTCGTTTGCCACCTTATGTTATAAAAAAAAGGAAGAAGAAGACCGAAGAAAGTATGGATAGATTGTGTGAAAGAGGATATGCTTAAAGGAGTGGATTCAGATATGACGGCTGATAGAGATGTATGGAAAAGCAGCACATACTGTGCCAACCCTCCATAAGATTAGCAAATAATTGAAATCCAATTATATTAATTATATTGACATGTTAGCGTTAGTAAATAATGTGGAAATGTCTGAACTGAAGTGTCAACTACTTACTCTATATGTTTTTGTCAGTCTATGTTTTTCAGACTTACAAAGAGGGTTTTTTTTCGCATATGTAATTTTCAATTGCAGGTAGTCTCGCCAGTCGGCCGATACGTCAGCAACCATGAGGGATGGCTGAAAGAGATCGATAAATATGCATTCCAAATTAATTTTGTAGGTATTATATTTACTGGATGGTCAAGGTAAATCAATTTACAAAATATATGTACCAGCCAAATAAATATTCCTATTACTGAATAACTTGATTTGATATTTACAAAATTACACTTTCGTTAAAATCGGTTTCTTTCGTTTAGCTTAGTGGTTATCACAAACTTTCTTATAAACTCCTACATAAATACAAACACGAGTAATCCTAATAAAAATAACCCTTGTAGGTCGGGTAGAGCGTCGGTGGCTCAGTGATTTGAACATTTGACTTGTAATCTAGAGGTCTTGGGTTCGAATCCCGCCATGTACCAATGTGATTTTCGATTTTTCGAATTTCCATATGTACATAATTTACCCGACATTCTTACGGTGAAGGAAAACATCGTGATGCAACCTGCACATATCAGCGAAGGAATTCAAAGATATGTGTGAAGTCAACCAACCCGCAGTGGGCCAGCGTGGTTGACTATGGCCTAGTCACCCCTTACTTAGGGTAGGCTCCGAGCCCCTCGGTGGGGACGTACAAAGAGCTGGTGATGACAGGTCTGGTAACAAATATAAACAAGTTTTAATACTTTCTTGGATAAATAAAACCAACCAATTAATAAGAAAATCACAGTTTAATTCACACTTAAGTAACATTTAAATTACTAAACTATAAAATATGCAAATACATGTTTTTTTTAATTTGTTGATCTTTTTGACATTAAAAGATGTTTCAGGTATGACCACTATTCAACACTATGTGAGTTGTTGCCGGTATCTCTGCCATCTTTAAAAAGTTGTTTGCGAATCTTTCTAAAGAGAAACACATCACTACCAAGTGAGTATATTATGTTTAAGAAAACATACGGAAATAATATATCAAGTTTATTTAAAGCCTTTTCCTCACTTTTGTAAGTAATAAAAAAGTTTATTCGTAAGAAATTCAATTGCTTTAAGTAATATAGATGAAAAAAACCGATGAGACAGTATTAATTATAGGTTCCCTATCCTTACTTCTAGACCTAGCTTAGATCACAGACGCCCTTGAGTAGTCATATCGGAAAAATAATGTCCGGTTTACACTAAGCCAGTTATGTATACATTCACACTCCAACTGTACTGGCCAAGTGTAAACTGGCATGTGAACACTAACTTTGTAGTCCATACATTCATTACTGTTTACTAGCCAAGTGAACCAGGTATTGATTTAGTTTGTTTTAATGCATTTTCAGTGGAGGAAAGCGAAGAAGTACCGGAGTCGGAGTTGTCAAGTTCCGTGCAGCGCTACGTCGACCTCAAGGACCGCTGTCACAACTTCCTGCACTCGGACCAGTCTGTATTACCCCACCATATTTATACTAATATTATAAAGAGGAAAGATTTGTATTTTTGATTTTTTTATGTATTGAAGTAACTCAAAAGCTATTGGACCGATTTCAAAAATTTTAAAAAATTAAAAAGCTATGTTATCCGTGAGTAACACGGTGTGTTTTTATTTACTTTTTAATTTCACGCGAGTGAAGTCGCGAGCATCAGCTAATCTTTTATATACAGTTTACGCTAATAAAGACAATTTAGATTAACTTCTGTATTTCTATTGATAAATACGTACAAAATCATATATTTTCAGACAAAAGATGACTATATTCGACTGTTTCCATGTAAACTTACATTTAATGCTAACGTATTTATTTAGATTAATTTAACTTTTTTAATAAATTTAATTTGTGTTACAGAGTGGCAACATGGTTCAATAGATGGCAAATAGAGAACGAATTTACCAATCCATTGCAAATTCAGAACGTAATGCAGTTTGCAAAGCAGTAAGTTTTGTGTGGTATTGCTTTTTGCGTCACAAATATAACTTAAACGTAGTAAAAAAAATCATATCTGTAATTATCTTAATCTTTGATTGTGTTAATCTTTTTTATTTTAATCTATGTTTTTGTTATTCTATGATTACGTTACTCTATGTATTTGTTACTCTATGATTAAGTAACTAGGTTTTTATTCTATGATTATATTACTCTATGACTGTTAATCTTTGTGTTGCAAATTTAAATTATATCTCGGTATTAATGCTTATTTCGTTATTTTTAGCTTATTAACGGATATATTAGTACTGCAAGAGACAATAACGCCACAACTTCACGCTGTAACGGGAAGGAGGAGCGCAGATGAGTGGATAGGAACATTCCTGAGGCCTTTAATTCTGCAATTAAGTGATATCTATGAGACAGCTGTACGTAGAATGAATGCCGGCGCTAGTGTTCTACCAAAATGTATTGATTTTTGACGCATAGCGTGTTAATTGTGATATATTTATTCTGTGTTTTAAGAAAACTATTTTAAGTCATAATAAACGAATGTCTATAAATTTTGTTTTATTTTACCTTTCAAAAACTGATAGCCCTGGATGCAAACCAAGAGGATTCCATAGTTAAAATAACACAACCTCACTGAATTATAGCAGTTGAAATATAAGCTAATATTAATAAAAATGAATAAAGACCCTAATTTTGACATAATAACCTCAAAATCGAATCGTGACTTAATATAAATAAAGTTGTACATTTCCTGTACATAATCCTGCAGTCCGGGAACTAGAAGCCCGGATATTAACTAATAAAGCCGGAACTATAGACCTATTGTCCCTTTTTCCCGTGACCGACCTTTTTAATAAGCGGGCTTCGGCGAGCGTGAAGGAACCCAGCAAGCGTGCAAACCGTATTCCTTTTAGTAAGTTATACAGAAATTTGATTTGACCATCATTAAGAAAGTTAAATAACTATTTTACTACCTTTTTAAAAGCATAATGCATATATCTATTCAAATAAAGGAGCGATCCGTAGTTTGTTTTCTATAAAGGACTAGCTTTCGCTCACGGGTACGTCGAGAAATAAAAAAAAAGTAGCCTATGTGTTCTTCCAGACTATGTTCTATGTCAAATTTTATCTAGATCCGTTAAGCCGTTTAGGCTACAAACTCTAACAAACATCAATCCATCTAAACTTTCCCATTAATTTATAATATAGTAAGGGACTTACTACCTTGGGATTCAAATCAAACAAATAACAACAAAGTCTGAAATACTCAAAACAAACATTTTACACAAATATATAACATTAATTTTATAATTTAAAGTCGAATTACACGTCTACAAATATATCTTACTATTTCCTTGGTATTTTTCTTGTAAACAAAGCGTTTTGAAAGCAATCGTAACGCGTAAAATCGGAGATTGCGCGATGCTATCACATACACTAAGGCTTTGTTTGCACTGACGGGTATAAATGTAGCTTTTGTCAAAGATTATTGCAGAATTTCTAATCGGCCATTTTAACAATAGGAACAATACATAGAATAAATGTTAACGTTATTCTGGAAAGCATAATTATAATATTATTTTTAAAATAAGAACCATGTTGTTAAGATGATCGGTTTCTACAAGCCTGATTTTTTTTAATAACAAGTAGCCACTGTTGTTTGCCAAGGTTTTGTTAAGGATTAAAAATAGATAATGAAAAAGTAACACTTGTGTGTATATATCCTTATATAAATGTAAAAAGGAGTGGAATCACGGACGGCGGAGTGACGCGGCGTAGGCGCGGGGTAGGCACGGCGAGATTAATGCAAAGACGCGTCACAAAGGGTGGGTTTTTGTTACGACGAATATTAGGACGGAATGCCAGTCTCGCAGGAAATTAGGCGTATCTCTGCACGAAATATTGCCGCCGAGGCGTTTCTTTTGTAATGGACGTCGTTTTGGTGAGCGCGTTGCTAAAAAAGTTTTATTGCTAAGACTAACCGAGCTCTTATTTATTATACGTGATACTATAAATAAGCTTTTACAGATGTGACAAAATGTTGGATTAACACGACATCTACCATAATCTAAGTTCATAGAAGTTATATATTGTTGGCCGAATAGAAATCAGCCTTTGATAATTTCGTATATTTATAATAATTTGAAGTATATATTAAATGTTTTGATTTACTTTTTATTAAAACAAATAGAAGGAATGTAAAGGAAGGAATATGCTTAGGAATTGTAAGTTAACCAAATAGTTACTAGGTGTTTGAAAACCTTGTGATACATTTTTTTTGTAAAATGTTAGCAGCTTTTTGTTAATCGTAAATCGTAAATCTCTTAACCATTACGCTATTGGCGATTTTACATTATCTAAAGTTTTTGTATATTTTTTACCAGATTTTTAAGACATTTATTTGACATCAAGACAGATCTGAATTTTTCGTGGAAAGTAAACGTGACTGTCTCGTTGGTTAGAATATTTTACATAATTCACTTTTATTATGATAAGGAGGAGGTAATCAACGTTTCTCTTTTGTTATCTCACCACCAAACCTCTCCCACGTACTCCAAATATATCTTAGTGTGTAAATAAGGGTTATAAATTATTTTTATGTAGAAAAAAAATGTTAGATGGATTCTCAAGAGATCTATTTTTTTGTCTTTTAATGTATTTCTTTTAATTTTAATTTTTTTGGCGTAGATTCAATGGTATTAAAATTGTCTTATTTTGTTACTTAAGCTAATTCATATTAAAAGATTAGTGGAACAGACAGACGCCAAACAAAAGCTAAACTCGTTTAAGTCCAGTGCGATTAAAGGCTTTGCTGGGATGAGGTATAAGACATTACGCGAACGCTCTCAGCCGCTTACAAAATTTAATAAAACCTTTATTTAGATTGACGTGAACTTTTAAAGTTTGCATTGAAATTGATGAGAAAAAATATGCTTTAATTGTGGTGCTTGTTAATGAATAGCTTACTGAAGTAGATGTCCTTTTGTTTTTTTTAATACTAGCTTTCGCTTGTGACTGTCCGCATGGACTTAAAAAACAAAAGTAAAGTCTTGGAGTTTATTTCGTTACATACAGATATGCTTATCTTCACTCTCTAGTTATTTGCTCTTTATAATATTTGTCTACATATTGACATTGTAAATAAAAGATAACAATGTAAGTTTCAAGTTACGCTTCTGAAATATAACGGTTAGAAATAAAAATCGATACAGCAAGACATTGTTACTCTGAAAGAATGAGCTCACGTTACCCTGTCGGAACTTTTTTTATACCTTTTTAAAGCGCCGACAGCGACGTGCCAGACTGAAATTCCGGAAAGCTGTTTCAAATTTAATAGACACGCCGAAATACCACGACTAGAAGATTGATTTTCTACTAAAAATGTACTAAAACGAAAAAGATCAGGGGTGTTGAACCAATGGTATGTGATCCATTATTTTAGGCACATCACCTATTATAGAAAGTACGAGGAACATAACTATGCTAAGGGAAGTATGAAGTTTGGGCGTTAGTGTAGGGCGCGGATGGGCGATCGCCCAGGGCGATGGACTGAAAAACGCTCCACAGTCACATATACCTGTAACCTAACAATTGGTAACAATAATTATCTTTGAATTACTTTAAAATGATCATATCTATACTATTATAATAAAGCGTAAACACACACTTCTTTGTTGCCTAAGATGTTAGCAATCACAGCATATTTTTGTTTTTGAACAATTCTTCTTTTAATAAAAAACCCTACACTTACGTCACGCTTTAGGCTATTTTTTTTCACGCCATATTTATATGGTAAATATTTTGGAATAAAACCCTAATGTGGGAAAGAGACCATAAGTTGCTGCCAACATCATGAAAGCGAGATTGCTAAGGTTTGTGATGTCACGTCATTTTGACATTTGCTATTGATAATTTGACAAATGTAAACAATAAAATAAAATTGTCATAATTTCATGAGGATGGAGCCGCACGGGAGTAGCTAGTTTATAATATCTAGACATACGTAACTGTTACAATTACGTTTTATTGTAAGTTATTTGTGTAATTCCTACATTGTAAATTAAAGTTTAGTTCGTACGCTTGGGATTTAAGGTGTGTTGAAACAGTAATTATCGCTCTTTAAGGATCAAGATAAACGAGCGCTCTAAGGAAAAGTCAATTTCAAACTTTCGCCGGCTGATTACGAGTTAATTACTAGTTGGGTAATGGATTATTTTACCCGCCCTATTGTTTTCACACTTAATAGATTTTTGTACCGCTATCTAACGTCTTTAAGCTGAATAACTTTTAATTATTTGTCTTGTTTTTCTTAATCTTAATAATCTTACTCATATTATAAATGCGAAAGTTTAGATGGATGGATGTTTGTTAGATTTTGTAGCCTAAACGACTGAACGGATTTCGGTGTAATTTGGCATAGACGTATTTGATACTCTGGAAGAACACATAGGCTCCTCATTTGTGTTTTTTTAAATTCCACGCGTAAGGAGTCGCGCGCGAATGCTTGTATAAGATAATTTAAAACATAGAACGTAAGAGAAAAGACATGTGTAATGAGTTATTCACTATCTATTTATTTATTAAAAAAAACCAACAGCGTACAAATATAAAATTAAAAAAAAATCTAGTATTATGTTATAGTAAAACCAATGACAGATTTTTATTTAAGCTATCTAATATTATTGCAATTAAGGTCTTTTTCTCTTAAACTTTATACATTTATGATTTATGTCCTGTAGTTCTGAAATCTATATATAGTCCTGGCTATCTTGATTAGTATTTTATAAACAATTTATTTAATCGATACTAGCGATATCTATACTAGTATACTATTAGTACTTTTAGGTATAATAAAGCGTAAACACACACTTCTTTGTTGCCTAAGATGTCAGCTATCACGACATATTTTCGAATAATTCTTTTTTTTAACAAAAAGTCCTACACTTACGTCACGCTTTAGGCTATGTATTGTCACGTCGTTAAACTTAGGGGTAAATATTTTGGATAAAAACCCTAATGTGGGAAAGAGACCATAAGTTGTTGCCAACACCAATGGTTTGACATCATGTCATGTCATTTTGACATTTGCAATTGATAATTTGACAAATGTGAACGATAAAATGAAATTTTTATAATTTTATGCGGATGAAGTCGCATGGGAACAGCTAGTTAATTATAAAACTGCACTCGAGATCTCGTCACTCGTCAGGAATGCGCGCGAATATCCATCCTTCTAATGACACTGACAGCTGTCAGTTAGAGATATGACGTTTATGCCAATAATCTAGTGTTGCGCCAATTCTATAGCGCGGTACTCATTTCCTTCTTAACAGTATAGATCATGTTTGCGTATATGTTTGTACAAACAATTAACTACGTGACGACAGTAACAAGAGGAAGAACAATACCCACATTGTAGTGATTCAAAGTCAAGGCTGTTTCAATTAACATAGCCTTGGTCAGTAAGATGGGCAATCAAGTTGTTTAAAGCGTTTATATCGAATTATAACAATAGTATAAGTGGATAAGAAGTGTTAAATCCAATGTAGTCTAATCGTTACGTATGTAGGCCCTTAGAAAAAAAATCATAATAAACACACACTGATTCGGCCCTTTGTTAGTATGAAGGCCATTGAGTCTTAATTTTAAATTCTCTAAGTTTGAATATATGTCATGTCTGAATTCCCAAAACTCTGTGGTTACACATAAAGGCATAGATTTGTATGTAAGATACAGTTTTTGTTAATCTATACTAATATAATAAAGCGTAAACACACAACTTCGTAGCTTAAGATGTCAGCAACCACAGCGTATTTTTGAATATTTCTTATATTAATGAAAAGCCCTACACTTACGATACGCTTTAGCCTACATATTTTCACGCTACTAAACTTAGGGGGTAAATAAATAGGAAAATACCTTCATGTTGGAAAGGGACCATAACCTACAAGCGGCCAACATTAAGGAAGCAAGGTTATAATGGAATTTAACAAAAGTAGACAAGAGAAGCCGCACGGGAACAGATAGTTTCTTATAAACAGAGCTGTAAATACTAAAACAGGTCACGTTAGTTTCTTTTAGCACTAGTTATGACATAATATGCTAATTCTCCTAATTCATGATTCATAACAAGATACATTCGTAAATTGAGTCTCAAAAGTGTCGGACGTGAGAGAGGTTATCAAAATGTTTACGTTTTATTTGATCGCTTGTGCGTTTTTTGTCAACGTAAAGAGTGATTGGGGACCTTTCCAAGCGTTGTTGTACTCTGATTTAATAACTTGTAAGTAGAAGAAGAAGAAACAAAAGACAATTGTGTTTTGTTTTTTTAATGGCCAGTATTTTTATTCAGTCCAAAAATAGTAAGTAATGTCAGTTTTAAAAGTCATTTTTTCCAGGTAACCACAATAAACAAGTAGATCTTGATGTGAAAGACACTATGGTCTATTTCTACGATTTTAAAAACAATCTAAACGTAAGCTACAAGATCGACAAATTCGTTGATGGCATATCTCATTATCAAACTTTAGATGTCAAAAGGAAATTGATATTTTTCGTCCCAGGTTACAAATCTAGTATTTACAAGAAGACGGAAGAGAAAATACGTCAAACATTCAGCGATTTAGACACATATCTGATTATAATTGACCATTCCACTTACACATCTTCGAAAGGTGGAGTCAGAGATAGTTACGAGAGATCTGTGATGTATACTTATCATCTCGGCAGGGCATTAGGAAAATTACTCGTTGATTTCCACACAAAAGGATTTCCTTCCAACAAAATTCATTGCATCGGTCACAGCCTAGGAGCTCAAATGCTTGGCTTCGCTGGAACAACCTACATGAGATTAACAGGCGAGAAAATATGGCGGATAACGGGAATCGATCCAGCCGGTCCTTGTTTTTCTAACAGTCTTATAGAAGACCAATTAAGATCAGGCGTAGCTCAATATGTTGAAGTATATCACTGTAATGTGGGAGAATTGGGAACGACCAGTATCTTAGCTGATACAGATTTCTTTATAAATAACGGTAAGAAGCAACCGGAGTGCCATGAAGGATTGATCCCAGGATACGGGGCTTCAGAAGCAGCGAAATGCAGTCATAAAGCATGTGTCAGATATTGGGCTGAAACGGTGCATCACCCCGGTTGGTATTCGGCCTGGAAATGTGACAGTTATAAGGAGTTTTCTAAAGGAAGATGCATTAGGAATGACGTCACAATAGCTGGTTACTCTAACCCAGGTAACGTTACGGGATTATTTTACGCTTCTACAGAGACTTATGGTGTTGTTTAGTTGTAAAGTTATAGTTAACGTGTAGTTTGTTATTGCCGGTGTTGCGGATGGGCAGCTGCAGCGATGGTCCCTTCGCTATTCACCCTGTTTGTTCATCCCTCCCTTGTTTAAAAAATATATTACCTAATCCAACCAAACAAGCATCTGTTATTGCTTAAACAACAATAGATTTCTTATCCCATGTCAATGAAAATGTTCCAGTTATGTTTTTGAACGAGTTATAGTAACAAATATTTCTATGTAAGTAATATCTCGAACAGAGTGACTTTTGTCGTATCGTAGAGAAATCTCCCGCAGAGCGAAGTCACGTACTAATTCGAGCGATCAATCTCTCCGACAATGCTATCCATTATTTTCTTTGACTGAAGACTTTGTCATACAATTACATTTCGGCCTATTTCTGATATATCTTTTCTTACGTTGATATACGATTTTTGTGAAACTTGTATTGTGATATTTTTTGGACATCAAATTCTATAAATTGTTATCAATATTTTTTCTTTAAAGTCTCATTCATAGACTATATGATGACTAATTATTTTACGGCCCAGTGACGGCGCCGACCAGTTTCAGACTCTGCGAGGGACCTTCTTCAGGGCGAGGATTAATGGTGTTGTGTAGCGGTAAATAATTTAACTATATCATGATTAGTTAATTAAATAATCCTTGAAGAATTAAATGTGTGATTGTTTTATTTTGTAGAAAGAGAAAATAAAATAAATATTTTTGTATTTCTATTAAATTATTTAAAGAATGTGAAATGGTTTTATTTCTCAGAGACTTTCAAGTAACATTTATTGTACGCTGGATATGAAAGGTGGACAGGACGTCTCTAGAGAATAAAGCCAGTCTAGTACCAGTCTAATAATGTCCAGTATCCATTTGTAACCATACTTTCAGAATAATATTGCATCTTAGAACTTAGCGTTTTCGCCGCGACTCCGTTCGCTTGGAACAAATAAAAACAAAAGAAAGTATAGACTACTTTCTTTTGTTTTTATTTTATATTATTGTTCTTTTTGCCTGTCAAACTGTCGACTATTCCAAATTTCATCGAGATCTATGAATCTAACAAAGAACCATTTATTTCGCATTAATAAATTAGGAAGATTAATAAATAACTTTCAATTATTACGATATTAAAATATTTTCGAATATCTGTTTCGTGGAACAACATTTCATGGAGTAATTATCGGTCTTAACGAATCAAGATAACTGACGCAAAGTGGGGGCCGCAATGGAGGGATGAAGTGGACAGGGTGCGAGGAGTCAATTAAAAACTTGGAGATCGGATCGGGGTGATAACGACTTAATTACTACTCCGTAAATGGATTATTTTGCTCGCTTCTTTTATTTTCTTATTTAATTTTAAGATGTTATCAATTGCAATCGTTCTGACTATCGCCAAAATGTTTATTCTTTTTACTTCTGCATGTTTAGTTAATTTAGTAACTTTACTGCAGCTGTGCGAGGAAATTTATCCAACATATAAGAGCATAAATAAGGGGGTCTTTTTTCACATGATTAAAAAAACAATAATAATTTTATACCTTCTTAAATTGTAAGAATTGTATAAATGGTAGACCAGACCAGGGCCCTCGAGGGTGACCAAACCGCCCTCGACCGTCCCTTTAAGGGGCAGTCACCCAGGGCGCTGCATAGAAAGGGCTCTACAGGTATGCTCAAAGTCTCAAGTAGGTCTGTGTACACTCCCTCGCCCAGGGCGCTGATAGCGCTAAAACTGGTACTATACCACTGTGAATGCAAAGTTATAGGGAAGGAAAATTGTAAACGATATCTAGTTTCCGAATAAAGATGATAATCTAAATAAAACTTTATTGTACAGCCGTAAGATTTGTTTTCATGTAATACAAATATTGTCAACTTTTTGCGCAACGCCAACCGGTCTTGGAGAAAAAATATTTAATGAATTTGGATGACGTAGTGTTTTGAGTCAAACGTTTTAGGTATGTTGGAAGATTCTACCTGGTTATTAATAAAGCTTGAAGCTGTATTGTATAAGATTCAAGAGAAAATCAAATCTTTCCCATTGAAATATAATTTCCCAAAATAATATACCAAATGTTTTAATTTACTTTAATCAACACTCGCAAGTTTTGATAAAAATGGATAAATTGAGCCTTGATAAAAGTCAATACTAGAATTATATACAAACGGAATCGTGGGAAGGAACTATATTGAATTAAGATACGAAAGGTGCGTCTGCGCAAGACATGAGTTGTCTATTCAGGGTTAGAACTCTCGCGGTCGTCTACGGAGTTAAACGTGTGTTAGGTTGTCAAGATGTTTCTTCGATCATTTCTCGCTACCGTGTTTTTATCAACCGTTTATTGCAATTGGGGACCTTTCCGTGCTGTTTTGTATTCTGATTGGATTAGCTGTAAGTACATTTTAATCTGTATTTTAATGCTTTGTTAAAACGATCTTTTAGATGTTATTGACTTGTGTATACTTTTAGGCTATGTATTGACATGTCGAAGGTTATCGGTTATATTGTTATTGGTTTTTAAAAACACATTTGATATGTGTTTTTGTTATTGTTTTACATTCATATACGTTTTTTAAATTAGAGGCTGAAACGTAGAGATATTAATAAGTTTTGTTTGTTTTATAACTTTCCATAGATAGTGAGGATTTCTTTTGGAAACATTTTTTGCGTTCTTAAAATATAATATAAGACTATCAATAGGACAAGTTAAAACAGTGCCTGATAAATAGTTTAGTTAAATATTTTATACATATATAAGCTCTATAATCTAATTTAAATACAACACATGACCGTACAGTACATGACACAAGTACAGTCACCTTAATACGTATGCAGAATGCGAGTACCGTACTTATTAGGCAAGGACATTGTGAGTGTACAATGATATCATTTTTATAGTTTCCTTATAAGTTTCCTTATAGTTAACTTGAGTTCAATAATCTTGTAAATAATTCAATAATGGTTGCAGATAATTTCTGTTTTCCTTAACTTTTGACTGATGTTTCGTAAATTGCGTTTCAATTGTACCATAGGTTTCCATTGCCGAACAATTTAGAGAAATTAGATATTGCCTAAAAAATAAGATACAGAAATAATGTACTTTTAAATGGGTCTTGAGGAAATTTTAAATATATAGTTTTTTTTTGTATTCTGTTTTAAAGTAATAGATTAGACTGTAGGAAACCCGTTAGATACAAAAATCTTCGATATGTTAAAGTATCAGTGTCTGTTATTTTTTATCTACACTATCGAATAGTAATCAACGTCATTAGGACCCTGATTACGGTTCAAATGCGATATTTTATCGCGTACTTATTCAAGGACAAAGGTCTGGCAGTGGAACTATAAATTACTTCATCAGTATTGAGCGACTTTTAAATTGGCACCTTGATTACATGAGTACTCATCTACTGGATGAGACAACTCAAATTCTCATAAGCAAGTGTACATTCAAAATATTTAATTAATTGTCCACAGCGTCTTTTCTGTCAGTTCTTAAATCAGCTTCATCTCCTCTACCTTATCCTAGTCTCGTAGTATCAGCGTACCGTGTTTTCTCAAAAACAAGTTTATCATCCGTCATCTCAGTCATCACTCCCTTCTTTATGTCACCTTTCATGCAATCCATCGCTTTGTATGTCTACCTCTACTGGTGTATCCACTCATAACTAACGGCCTTCTTGTTACATGCGATTCATCCCTCGTAAGATGCAAATACCATGCTAACCTTTTACTCCTTAATTTCTCCACAACTGGAGCTACTCTCAAACTTTTTTTTTTATAACATAAGGGTGCAAACGAGCAAGCGGCCACCTGAATCCACCGAAATGAAAAGCGACCGCTGCCCATAAACATCCGCAATTGCAACTGCGTTGCCTACCCTTAATTGACGGGGGAGACGCACATTAAGAGGACACTTACCCTTCCTATGCGTCTCCTCCACCGTAAAATCCACTTTTCCTTCCCATCCTTTCTCTTAAGAAAAGGGTAGAAAGAGAAAGGGACTAAAATTAGGCCTCCCGCACCACACTCATCAGACGAAACGCGGAATTGCTTCCACTTCACGCCTGTTTTCTGTGTGGTCGTGGTATTACACCGGGCGAGCTGGCCAATTCGTGTGAAGATGTTAAAGCGGGCTCTACCACTTCCTCCATTATATTTATTTCTTATCTTATCCATTTGTGTTACCCCACGACTCCTTGTAGTCCTTTAATATAGTCTTTTAATAGAGTTCAATCTAATTTTTGTCTTTTACATGTTACAATGGTTGAATGAAACATTTCATCGCTAACAGCTTCATTGTTGCTTCATCCAATGACATTTTTATTTGGATTTGGTCTACTTAAATATTACATTGTTTCTTTATAAGAAATCATTAGATTTAGTTCCAATAAATCGATTAATTGGTCTTATTGTGAACTCGATATATATAAAAGGAAATGCTGAGATTCTTTAAATTCTACTTCTCTCACTTTAATGAACATTTATTTTTCTCTCCTTGCAACGTGTTTTAATTTGTTCTTAAGTTTTTGCATCGTTTGATCACTTTTATAAATAAAAACGAGATTTGTATTGAATGATGTTATTCAACCAACTGAAATCTAAGAACAGTATTTATAAACTTTGAAAATGTTTGAAAAATCTATCTACGATTTGCTAAATTTCACGTTTTATTGATATACGACACTAGATACAGTTTTGATTATAGTGATATTTAAAAAAATAATAATAAAATAATTAAGATTACGAGATACTATTTTATTATTACAACCATGTAATAGATTATTATTGTAATAGTTGTATCCTCAAGTTTATTTTATGTTTAAATAATAAAGGATTACAAATAACTGGTACAAACATTGCCTAGTGCAGGCATCACTAGATTAAACGTACTAACCATATATTACAAATGTATTCTTGAAGACTTAGTATAAGAAGTACAAATTGCCTTAGCCTTAAGTTAGTATAAATGCAATTGTAATTTTTCAATATTTTTCGCTGTCAATAAAATTGTTTCTATATTTATTTCTACTATGTTTTGATTAAATATGACTCGATGGTTTCAACTAAATTCACACATGTTTTCAAATTTAAACTCGATTAAACTTATCTTATTTTGTATTCCAGGTAACATCAACAAAACAGCAGTACTCGATGTGAGTAACGTCGATGTCTACTTCTACGATTTCAAAAACAATTTCAACGCAACATTCGAAATAGACAAAGCGATAGACGGATTAACTAATCTCTACAGCCTAGATATTACAAGGAAACTGATATTCTTCGTTCCTGGATACAAATCTAACATTTACAAGAACACAGAAGAAACTATACGACAAACATTCAAAGATGTTCCAAATACTTACCTTATTATAATTGACCATTCCGCGTATACATCTAAACCTGGAGGACGAAGGGAAGTTTACGAAAAATCAGTTACCTTTGTCCCATCTATAGGAAAAAGATTGGGGACGTTTTTAGCCGATCTGCATAGCAAAGCTTACCCTTCTAGTAATATACATTGCATTGGACATAGTTTGGGTGCTCAGATTCTAGGATACGCTGGTACTACATATAGTAATAAGACTTCAGAAAAGATATGGAGGATTACAGGCATTGATCCAGCTGGTCCTTGCTTTTCAAACAGCTTCATTGATAATCAAATACGATCAGGTGTAGCGGAGTACGTTGAAGTATACCATTGTAATGCAGGTGGTTTAGGAACTACAGCTGTTCTAGCTGACATTGATTTCTTCTTCAATAAAGGTAGAAAGCAGCCTGATTGCCATGAAGGTTATATACCTGCGTATGGTGAATCTGAGGCTGCTAAGTGTAGTCATAAAGCTTGTGTTAAATTCTGGTCGGAGACAGTACACCATCCCGGTTGGTATTTAGCTTGGGCTTGTGATTCTTACAAAGATTTCTCTAAAGGCAAATGTGCGGCGAATCAAGTCACAATAGCAGGTTATTCAAATCCAGGAAACGCGACCGGAGTATTTTATGTATCAACACATGCGTATGCAACTGATTAGTATATTTTAAAGGTATTTAAAATTGCACTATAGGGAATATTAGTCATTAAATAAACTAAATGTACAATACTTGTAGATATTTGTAGTTTTATAGGTTATGAAATGTGATATATAAATTCTAGAAGTATAAATAAAACTAATTACGAATAATAAAGTTGTTTATTATTGTAATTAACTAACTATTCTTTGAACGTTTTCTTGTACATTCAAAAAGGTAGAAAAAAAAGATAGACAATTGTAATTAAGAGAAGAAAACGTTAAAGAATATTGTTGCCTTGCGATTTAAAGGTTAGGTTGGAACTTAGTTTTTATCTTTGAACTTGTTATTGCACTCTGCAATCTGTATCATAAAATTGAACTCACTGACATGTATAATCTATACAAGCCATGATAAGCGATATGTTACATTTTACTTAAATTTAATTACAGTGCGATCAAATGTGGCCACTGACAATACTAACTTTGCAAATATATTTAAAGCCTACTGAAATCCGAATATTTATCTTTTCGACCTTTTGACATTAATAAGCATCGATTAAATTTTCCTAAGAGCAGGCACACACTTCTAACTAAACTATCGCATAACTGTTGTTCGATCGTCGATTGTTTTGCAGCAAATTCAACTGTTTAGTTGCACAACTAAATATCTAGGAGTGTTCGCACTTCCATCCGAAGGTGCACGCTCTTTGATAGCTAAAGCATAAGAAAACAAAACAGAAACATAACAATTTTCAAAATAAAAACGATAGCATTAAAGTTAAACGGATTTCAAATCAGCTGCGTATATATCCAGGTTTTATTCAATTTCTTTTGAACGTAAAACTATAAAATGTTTTGTCGTATAATATCCAATGAAGTGAGAGCGTCGCGAGTTGAGTGTTTCAAGTAGCTTTATAGATGGGAACGGAGAAAGATTGCATACGTTAGTGGCCCACGACGTTTGTTGCTCCCACTCGGTAATACGCTAGATCAATCACTTGCAATGTTCATACTCTTCTTTTGTATTACTTCAGGAAAATATATGCAAACATACTTGTGTATAAGAACAATAACTCTTTTTATATCATAATGTGGCAAATTTTTAGTGGACACCTGATTCCGCCGAAATGACGAAGCGACCGCTGTCCATAGACATCCGCAATTGCAGATGCTACCCTTTATCGACGAAGGAGGAGACGCACATAAAGAGGATATTTCCCCAATGCGTCTCCTCCACCTTTAAATCCACTGTCCCAAGCACAAGAAAAGGGTGGAAGGGAAATGACTAATGTTAGGTCCCGGCAGGCACATGTATATGACAAAATGCTGCTGTCTTCTGTTCAGTCGTGGTATTGTATCGGACGAGCCAGCCAATTCATGCGAAGATGTAAAATCGGGCTCTACCACTGTTTAAACTTGCGTAAACTTGCGTCTATGCCACATTAATTTAATCTGATATATTTATTTATATCTCAATAGCACTATCATACTAATATTATAAATGCAAAGTTTAGATGGATGGATTGATGGATAGATGGATGCTTGTTAGAGTTTATAGCCTAAACGGCTGAACAGATTTCGATGAAATTTGGTACAGACGTAGACAATAGTCTGGAAGAACACATAGGCTACTCACTTTTGTTTTTCTAAAATCCACGCGGACGGAGTTAGTTAGCGGGGAAAGGTAGTTAACTATAAAATAAACGACCGGTGTAGTTAATAGAAACATGGTTTATATAACATACTTGTAGGTTATGTGAGAACATGTGGTGGTAGTTTACAAGCCGCAAACCGCAACAGAAGTCCGGCTTACTCAATACTACTCTGTTATTTGTTCCTGATACATGACAATGTAGTCCTACGCCATTACAATTGCTATTGCAAGTTTGTAATGTCTATGACATGGAAATGAACCCTAAATTTCTATTTCACTTACCGTAATTTTATATTTGCGAATGTTGTATTAATGGAAAAAAAAGAAAAAATATGTAAAACTATACTATTAGAATAAAGCGTAAACACTTTCTTCTTTGTTGCCTAAGATGTCAGCAATTACATCATATTTTTAAATAATTCTTTTTTAATAAAAAGCCCTGCACTTACATCAGGCTTAAGCCTATATATTTTACGGCATTAAACCTAGGGGGTAAATGTTTTGGATAAAAACCCTAATGTGAGAAAGAGACCATAAGTTGCTGCCAACACCAAGGAAGCAAGATTGCCATAGCAAGGTAATTGGTATTTTGTCATTTACAATTGAGAATTTGATAAATGTAAACAATACAATAATATTTTTACAATATGCGGAAGAAGCCGCACGGGAACATCTAGTATATAATAAAAAAAATTAACTCATTAATGTTATAAGGATAACGCAACCAACAAAAAAGAAAAAAAAAATCAAACTGTGCAAAAAAGAGCACGGACGCTAAAAAATGCGAATGTTTAGATGGATCCATAGATCTTTGTTAGAGGTTGTAGTTGTAATAAAATGCTGCACTGATCTCCATGAAATTTGGCTGAATGTAGAAGATAGTCTGGAAGAACACAGGTTACTCACTTTTGCTTTTTCTAATTCCACGTAGATGAAGACGCGGTTGAAAGCTTGACTACTGGACTGGACGTACTGTTCTGGATTTTAAAAAAATAACTGAGATATGACTATATTTTTTTAATGAATTTTCAGCAATTGAAACGGCAAGGAAACCACGTATCCCAACTAGTAGATTATTTTAAGGCACATTTATTACATAACGTTTGGCGCCGTAGCGTTGGTCACTGATTTTTGACTAGAGAAACAATAGATTTGTGAATGAAGGAATCAATTTGAGACACCAGAATGTTTAAAAATAATTTAAATTGTTATTTTGGTTATGTCAGTAAAGTAAACAAGTGTAACAAATCTGTAACATAACCCGCAAATTTGTTAGCCACAGCCAATAAAGCGTGATATTAATAGTTGTCGAAAATCTGCTAATAAAACAGTGTGTGCCGCTTCGCAGCCAAAATCCACAAAGCTACGCGTATTTATGTTACGTTTAAATTATTTGCTGTCCCGTGAAATTGCACCCGTCGGTCCCGACGGTCAAACATTAATTGAAAAGCAAAATTAAGAGAGTTTTTTTGTTAGAGATACGTGTTTTTTGTACATTGTAGCTCACGTTTTAATTGGGGGCGTATGTCATTTCAATACAAAAAAACCTTTCAATTAAGGTTTGAAATTTAAAAAGTTATCTTTATTGATGCTTTGCCAAACATGCCTTTCTTAGCAACTACAATCCTGTTGTTTTAATAAAGATGACAACGAAAGTTTCAAGTAAAATACAATAATTTCGTCCTGTATTTTGCCTAGATTTTGCATGATATAATCAAATCCGAATAAACTCAACTATCATTTGTTTAGATAGTCAATATTATGGCAATGAAGAGGTTAAGATAACAATAATTAATAACCCTCCATCTTGATTGTTGTACGATAGTAAATGATTTAATTACACGATTTAAACTACGTAAGATAATTTGGGAATCATCTAGTTTATAATATCACGTATTTGTGTTACTGGGAATGTACAATTCAGAGCTACGAGTAAAAGGCTTTATGTTGCATGCTACATTTGTTTCATTCGGCGCGAAACATTTGCTTAGGCGCGCGGCTGTAACGCGCCGACACGACAAATTGAGTTCAGTCACCACTGATGCGTGATAAAATGTCGCATTGCGTGATGTATTATAATTCAGTTAATTGCTGATCTTAGTTTTGAAAGAATATCTCACGTTAATTGACTTAATAAAATTGATTCGTACAAACAAGTTTATTTTCGTGACCTTTTAGTTTTTTATTGAAATATTGCCGCAAGACGTTAATAAAATATTGTATCGAGTCTTAGTTAAGATAACTAAGTACAGAATAGATAAACACGTACGCTTTTCGATTTTATAGTTACGGTAATGTGTAGTTTATAAGTTTTTTAATAATATAAAATGTAAGGCAATGCATAATGCAATGTTGTGAAATATAATTATTGCTCGGATATTTTCTGCAGGAGTCTAATTTTTGAGTTCGCATAATTTTATTGGAAATTATCATGTTATTACTAAAGCAGAAAATATTAGAAATTGCAGAATCATATTATTATCGGGAAAAAATAAAAACAACCATGTATCGTGGTGCACTTTGTGCAACGAGCAAACGATTAGTAGTGGCAAGAAATTAATTACATTTCTTGCTTCTGCTAATTGCTATCCTACGATACCGCAATATATGACCAGCTGGCTTAGCACAACTATAAACAAATAATAAAACATTTCACCGAAACATATGATCTGTTTGGAAAATAGGGTTACAGGTACTATATATATTGTTAATTATCTAAAACAAATGAGTACTTGCCGAGTTTTGAAGCAGGCGTATTTCAAAATTGCTTATATTTCGTACTTCATAGTACTTATATTACGAACTTTTCCTATTAGAGTTTGCTTTAAGTTTTAACAAGGTTCTGTTGTCTACAACTTTTGAGACACCCTGTGATATCGGATTATGATCGTGTAAGTTTTCGCTATCGATACCTTTTAATCGAGTCTCTCTTTTTTATTCGTTTTTAAGGTAGTATGTTTATGACCAGTTTCTTAGGCAAAGAGGTACCAAAGAGGTTGAATATATTATTTGTATTTTGATTGAAACTGTTTTATAGTAGTTGTTTAAATAAATACAGAAATAGGTAACACGAATGAACGAATATTCTTATTTCATGTGGCAATTTGCTTAATTCCGTGTCCCTTATGAATCGAATATATTTCTAAACGCGTGTTCGTAAATCATGTTTATTCGTACAAATATTTATATCCGGAATCAGGAAGCCTTCTGTCACTAATGAGTGTGGACGAATCACGAACTGCGGTGATATTTTCTCCTTTATTGGTATAAATAGTAGCTATCTATTGCGACATTTCTCATTACAGTGATGTGACTTGTTATGGGGAAATAATTTTCCTTTCAGAAATATAATTTCCCAATATAAATGAGAAAATAGATGTGTTTACGTTGTTTTGATATTGAAATAGTAATGAATTAAAATCAATTTAATATTTATAAAAGTTGTACCAGATTTAATTATATTTCATTACGATATAGTACATATTTTGACAAGAAGAAAATGAATCAAACAAAATATAATAATATTATGAATTGGTATTTTTTTTTTATAATATAAGGTGGCAAACGAGCAAGCGGCCACCTGAATCCACCGAAATGGAAATCGACCGCTGCCCATAAACATCCGCAATTGCAGATGCGCTGGTTATCCTTAATTGACGGAGGAAGAGACGCACATAAAGAAGACATTTCCCCTTCCCATGCGTCTCCTCCACCGTCAAATCCACTTTTCTTTCTCATCCTTTCCTCTGAAGAAAAGGGTGGAAAGGGAAAGGAACTAAAATTAGTAAATTCTGTCACTAGTTTCTGCCTAATTACGCCTTTTGCCGGAATTAAATAAGGATTTGTATTTATAGCTTTTACCCGCGTCTCCGTCCGCGCGGAATTAATAAAACAAGGGTGAGTAGATTATGTCTTCTTCTAGATTATCGTCTACATGTGTATCAAATTACAGTGTTTAGTGTTCAGCTGTTTAGGCTACAAACATCCATCCATCTAAACTTTTGCAATTATAATTTTTGTAACATTACATGTGATATTTTTGTCAGTAATCTACCGCTGTTGTTACATACATAGCCATAAGGAATATCGCATACGCAGCATTGACGTGGATGCGACCTAAATTAGAGGACACGAGGCGCAGTGGCACGAGGCACTAACCGCCGATGCTGCATAACGTGACCCGAGGCGTTATTATGTGACAAAAACAATAGAAGAACATTCCAAATTCACACTTCGAATTGGATAGTTAGATTAGTTAGCAATTAAGATTTAATTTGTAATTTTTAGTATAATAAATAATTATAAGTAAATTGGTTTTTTTTCGAGCCTACGGCTGTAGCAATCGTAATTCTGTTCAAAATTTCCTATATTGTTGTTGTTTTTTTTTAATTTAATTGCTAGCATCCATCCAATCCATCCAAACTTTCGCAT